AATGTGGGATTGTAACATTTTATATAAGTGAAACAATTCACTTTTTTTTTTTCTCGATGTGAGATTGTAATTATTTTAAAGTTAAATATTATGAGAGTTTCAAAATCTCATACAAAATTATGTTTAAATTAAAAACTATGTGAAATTGTAAAATACAAATTCTCACAAGACTTCTCACTATATGGGATAAAAGTATAAGATTCACTTTATATGAGTAAAACAATTCAATTTTTTTTCCTTTTTTTCTCGATGTGGGACTATTAAATAAAAGCTACCCAATGGAGTCAAGAAAATTAGTATGAGATATTGAAACTCTCATAAGACTTCTCATTATAAACTCCACTTTCCTTGTATAATATATTGATTAGGTCTTCTTCAATTTAGGATGTTGGAAACATATAAAGATCAACACAAAATTATGAATTTTTATGCTAGTGATTTCAGCACATCCCATATGACTTTTGAAAAATGAAAACCAACTACTATTCTATGATTTTTATTACAGAAACAGAACTTGGAATCAAGTAGGTTTGTATGTTTTATTTATTTTAATATTATCATAAGAACATCAAACACATGGGCAATTTTGATAGACAATCCTGTTAAACATCATGCATAGTTGTTTTGGTAGCTTTTATTTTCACCACCCACACTTTGTTTTAGTTTACGATATTTTTGTCGTTCGAATATCAATTTTTGAACAAAAACAATTATTAGAATGTTAATTTCTAAATAAAAATTAATTGTTGGCAAGAATAATTATTAGAATATTAATTTCTGAATAAAAATTAATTGTTTGGATATCAATATAGAGCATGATTTCGTTCGAAAGTTGAAATCCAAGCACTAAAATTGTGTGCATTGAGAATTTTTGTTAAGATATTGAAACTCTTACAAGACTCTTCACTAGATGAGGATGTGAGTATAAGATTCCCTTTATATGAGTAAAATAACTCATTTTTTTTTCTTCTTTTCCCGATATGAGATTTTCAAATAAAATTTAACTAATGGAGATTTTCTTAATTATTTAAATTTATTTCTAATTAGAAAATTAAGAAATTAGAATTGGAATAATAGAGCTCTGACAAGGTTTGTGGGTTAAAAATACCATTTTCCTTATATAATAGATATGGGCCTGGTAGGTTAAAGAAGGCAATGTATATGTGACATCAAGGAATTCATATGTGTTGAACTTTTTAAGAATTTTTTTTATGCTTGTTCATAATGCATTAAAGTTTTATTATGAGGAAATTTTGATCAAATCCCTCAAAAGGCTTGGGGGTTGGGAGAAGAGAGGATTTTGAGCAAATCCCTCAAAAGGTTTAAGGGTTGGGAGAAGTTAATAAATGTTAAAAAAAAAATTTAAATAAAAAAATAAAAAAATTTAGATTGGGATATTGAAACTTCCACAAGGTTTATGGGTTAAAAACTTCATTTTCCTTATATAATATATATATAGATATGGGCCTAGTAGGTTAAAGAAGGCAATGTATATGTGACATCAAGGAAACTTGAGAAGGACCACATACATGGTTCATGGCAGTAGGGGACCAATATTGGCTCATTTACATTGTATTTGTTGCCCCACCCATACGCCAAAACCCTAACTCACCCATCTCAATCAACCAACCCTTCTCCATCCAAAAACTCAATTGTCTTTACATTCTCTTTCCTTTAGTAGGGTCTTTTCCAGTGGGTCTCTGTGCTCTTTCTTATCCCGACTGTAGATTCTCTTCAACCCAATCAGGGTTAATTATGGAGCTGCCAATTTTGTTCGGGGTGAAGTGAAGATTCTCTAGTTTCCTAGGTTAGGAATCTCTGTTTAGATGGTCTTGAGTCTCTTCACACACACACATATTCAACCCAATCCCAACCTCCCAATTCTTATAGGTTGACTGAGAGGGTAATTTTTGGGAAAGAATTGGGCCGAGCTGTGAGTTGGGCACTGCGGCCCAAAGTGTGAAGGAATCGGTAAGAAGCCGTAATGTTATTTCGGCCCAGTAGAGGTATAGATACTCCGGCCCAGGAGAAGTGAAGATCTTGTGTTAATCACATTGAATGGCCTTCCCGATGAGTATGACTCTTTTAAGACTGCAATTCGAGCACGGTCAGAAGGTATTTCCATGGATGAATTGTGTGCCTTGCTTTGTTCCGAATCCATTCATGTTGAATTTAAAACACAAAAATCATCACTTATTGAGCAACCTAATGTTGCTTTCTCTGCTGCTCGAGGATTCCGTTCAACTCAGACTGGTTCTTCTGGTTCTCCTCGTGGTTCACAAGGTCGGTTTTCCTCTAAAGGAGGCAGAGGAGGTCAGTTTTCACAGCAATCTCAGTTTTCACAGCAATCTCGTGGTCGATTCTTTACTCAGCACTCTCGTGGTCGATTTTCTCCCAGAGGCAGAGGACGTAGTGGACCTGTCTGTCAAATTTGTGGTATTTTTGGTCACATTGCTTTTGACTGCTGGCATCGATTGGATGCTCAATATCAACCTCCTGGACAATCTTCGTCCCAGTCTGTTATGTCTAGTTCTAAAGCTTTTGTGTCTTCTTCTTCTCATCCCACTCCATCCATCTCTTCCTCCTCTTCCATGCCTTGGTATTTGGATTCGGCTGCCACTGATCATATGACCAATGATTTGAACAATTTCGATCTCTATCAAGACTATCCAGGTACTGATCGTATTACTGTTGGTAATGGCCAGTCTGTTCCTATTCATCACACTGGTCAAGGTATTTTACCTACACCTCATTTCTCTTTTCGTCTCAATCATATCTTGCATTCTCCTGCTCTTTCCTCTAATCTTCTCTCAGTTCATCAACTTGCCAAAGATAATGATTGCAACATTATTTTTGATGCTTCTTCTTTTCTGATTCAGGACAAGAAAACGAAGCAAATTCTTCACCAAGGTTTTCACACTAATGGCTTATATCATTTTCAGTCTCCTCTGCATTCACCTCATTCATCTGCTGTGCCTCAAGCTAACTTTCATGCTTTCAATAAAGATGTTTCTGCCGAAGTGTGGCATCATAGATTAGGCCATCCTTCTTCTCAGAAATTTTTTGCTCAACAAAAGCATTTTACTTGTAAACCTATGAAGTCTACTGCTATGAATTGTTCTGAATGTTGCATTGCAAAAAGCCATAGATTGCCATTTCAATTGTCAAATTCAACTGTCAAACAACCTTTGTCTTTAATTCATAGCGATGTTTGGGGTCCGTTTAATAAATCTACATCTGGCTTCAAGTTTTATGTAATTTTTGTTGATGATTTTAGCCGCTTTACTTGGCTCTATCCTTTAGCTTACAAAAGTGAGGTCTTTGCTAAATTTGTTGAATTCAAGTCTTATGTTGAAAAGCAATTTTCTACTTTTCTTCAAGTTCTTCGCACTGATGGTGGTACCGAATATTTCAATAATAAAATGCAAGCTTTTCTCTTACATCATGGGATTGTTCATCAACATTCCTGTCCTTACACCTCCGCTCAGAATGGTGTGGCTGAGCGCAAGCATAGACACATTATTGAAACTACCATTGCTTTGATTCATCATGCTTCTCTTCCATTACATTTTTGGTTTGATGCAGTTGCTACGGCTACTTTCCTTATCAATAGAATGCCTTCCTCTATTATTGCTAATAAATCTCCCTATGAAGTGTTGTTTCATGCTATTCCCGATTATTCTTTCTTTAGAGTATTTGGCTGTCAATGTTTTCCTTGGCTTCAACCATATAGTTCATCTAAACTTCATCCTAAATCTGTGTCTTGTGTTTTTTTGGGATATCATCCATTTGCTAAGGGATATAGATGCTTTGATCCTAAATCTGGAAAACTATATTTGTCTCGTCATGTAATTTTTCATGAGCATATTTTTCCTTTCTCTATGTCTTCTATTTCTTCTTCTTGTCCTGCTTTATCTCAATCTTCCTCCTTGCCAGATATTCAGACTTTCTTTTGGGCGTCTTCACATGTTCCTCAGTCTTCTTGTGCACCAACTACAGCTTCCTCTTCCCAGCATTCTCCTCAGTCTTCACTTCCCGTGCTGCCATGTACTGCTGCTCTAACTCCATCTGAGTTTCCATCTTCTTCTTCTTCTCGGTTACCTCAAATCCCAGTTCCAGCTACGGGTTTACCTACTGCTGTCTTGCCTTCTGATACTACATTGCCTTCTGCGGCTGTGTTCTCCTCAACCCAGCCTACTACATCTACTATACATTCCTATCCTATTCACTCCTTACATATTGACCTTCCACCTCTTCCTCATTCTTCATCTACTAATCTTCATCCTATGATCACTCGGTCCAAATCTTCTGGCCCCTCTGCTTCCCTCAGTATTTCTTCTTTATATACTGATGCTGAACCTCCTACTTACCAAGCTGCCCTTACCTCTCCTGTTTGGTTTAAGGCTATGCAAGAAGAATTTAGCGCTTTGCAAAAGCAGAACACCTGGTCCTTGGTTCCCTTGCCTTCTCATAAAAATCAAATTGGGTGTAAATGGGTCTTCAAAATTAAACGCAACTCTGATGGTTCGATTGCTCGATATAAGGCTCGTCTTGTTGCCAAAGGATACCTCCAACAAGAAGGTATTGATTTTCAGGAGACTTTCAGTCCCGTTGCCAAGCTTCCTACAATTCGGATTATTCTTTGTCTTGCCTTACATCATCACTGGCCTCTCAAACAGTTGGACATATCTAATGCTTTCCTTCATGGGAAGCTTGAAGAAGAGGTTTTCATGACCTAACCTCCTGGTTTTGTTGATTCTTCCTCTCCTACTCATGTGTGTAAGCTTCATAAGGCCTTGTATGGGCTTAAACAAGCCCCCCGTGCTTGGTATTCTACATTTTCTACCTTCTTACTGTCTCAAGGTTTTCATAATAGTCATTGTGATTCCTCTCTTTTCATTCACAAAACTCCTCATTCCATTACCATTTTAGTGGTTTATGTTGATGATATATTACTTACCGGCAGTGATCCTTCTCATATTCACACCTTAGTTACTCAAATGCATCTTGTTTTCTCTATGAAAGATTTAGGCAATTTGTCCTATTTTCTTGGCATTTCTGTTCACATCTCTGATACACATTATTTCCTTTCTCAACATAAATATGCTCAAGAGATCATTCACAAAGCTGGGATGGATGATTGTAAGCCTTGCCCATCTCCTATTTCTGTTAAACCTGGTCTCTCCCCTACTTCTGACCTTCCTTTTGCTAATCCATCGCTCTATCGTACTCTTGTTGGGTCTTTACAATACTTAACAATAACCCGTCCTGATCTCTCTTTGGCTGTCAACCAAGCTTGTCAGCACATGCATGCCCCAACCAATGGTGATTTTGCTGCTATTAAACGATTGCTTCGTTTTGTTCAGGGTACCCTCTCTCATGGTCTTACCTATACCCCAAGCACTTTTGATCTTCATGTTTTTTCTGATTCCAATTGGGCCGGTGACACTCTTGATCGTAAGTCCACCTCTGGGTATTGTGTGTTTTTGGGTGCCAATCTCATTTCTTGGTCTGCCAAGAAACAGGCCACTGTTTCTCGTTCCTCCACCGAGGCTGAATATCGGGCTTTAGCCCATGCTGCTGCTGAAGTTAGTTGGCTCCGTATGTTACTTGCTGACTTGTTTGTCTTTTCTCCTACTATACCTGTGATCTGGTGCGATAATCTGTCTGCTCTTGCTCTGGCTTCCAACCCGGTGTTTCATTCCCGGTCCAAGCATATAGAAGTTGATTGCCATTTTGTTCGGGAACAAGTGCTTGCTAAACGGCTGTCTCTTCATTATGTTCCCACCATTGATCAGTTGGCCGACATTTTTACCAAACCGTTGGCTGTCTCTCGGTTCCAGTATCTTAAAGACAAACTCATGGTGTCTTCCCCCATGTGTTTGCAAGGGCCTGTTAAAGCAACCTCTATTGCAGCAGCTAGTTAGTTAGTTAGTAATTCTGTTATGTAGTTAATAAGATTGTTAGTAGTTTGTTAGTTTGTTAGTTTGTTATAGCTTGTTACAGATCATAACAGATTATCTGTTATTATTTTGTATATATATATATGAACTGTGCTCATACATTTTCTTTCAATGAGAATTGGTTTACTGTTTTCCACAAATGTATATGTGACATCAAGGAATTCATATGTGTTGAACTTTTCAAGAAATTTTTTTATACTTATTCATAATGCATTAAAGTTTTATTATGAGGGAATTTTGATCAAATCCCTCAAAAGGCTTGGGGGTTGGGAGAAGAGAGGATTTTGACCAAATCCCTCAAAAGGTTTAAGGGTTGGGAGAAGTTAATAAATGTTAAGATTTTTTTTTTAAAATAAAAAAAAATTAAAAAATTAGATTGGGATATTGAAACTCCCACAAAGTTTATGAGTTAAAAATTTCATTTTCCTTATATAATATATATATAGATATGGGCCTAGTAGGTTAAAGAAGCCAATGTATACGTGACATCAAGGAAACTTGAGAAGGACCACACATATGGTTCATAGCAGTAGGGGACCAATATTGGCTCATTTACATTGTATTTGTTGCCCCACCCATACGCCAAAACCCTAACTCACCCACCTCAATCAACCAACCCTTCTCCATCCAAAAACTCAATTTTCTTTACATTCTCTTTCCTTTAGTAGGGTCTTTTCCAGTGGGTCTCTATGCTCTTTCTTATCCCGACTGTAGATTCTCTTCAACCCAATCAGGGTTAATTATGGAGCTGCCAATTTTGTTCGGGGTGAAGTGAAGATTCTCTAGTTTCCTAGGTTAGGAATCTCTGTTTAGATGGTCTTGAGTCTCTTCACACATACACATATTCAACCCAATCCCAACCTCCCAATTCTTATAGGTTGACCAAACCGAATTATTAACCCGATGGCATGTTACTGCCTTAATAATAATAATAAAGAGTTGTGTTAATACTAATACAATGTATATGAAAGAAAAAATGTTAAAAAAATAATATTTCATTGTGTTTTTAAAAACTTACTTGTATATGATGTTGCCATAATTTAACTTTATAAAAAATCAGAGCAAAATAGGATTAGGCTGCTTTACATTTAATGGATCTTAGATACAACAAATAGTTAACAAGAAGTGACTTTTAATATATTTTTGTAAAAGTGTCACTACTTTATAAAGAAGAAATGTTTTAGAATAATGTTATATGTATCAATTAGTGTATTAATTAGTGTACTAATTGAAGATGCGACATAATTTAAGAGGTTTTTGATATTTATAATTTGTATAATGAGTGGGGTCAATAATATCTGTGTGGGTGATTTTCTGATCACACTGCCGACTCAGTATTCAGGTGGAGAACACTGGCAGAATAGATGACACCTGGCTAACCTGCAACAGAAAGAGAAGATTCCGGCGGTGGTTTCGACCACCCGAGGGCACTCCGACGATCAAGTCAGTATATCTCTCAAAGATAATAAATAATGCTAAACTTAATGCTCAAAGCATAAGATTGCGTACCTTAGACCCACGGGGGTGCCTCTCTTTTATAGTTACCTCAATCCTAATCCCAGTAGAGGCCTGACTTCTATGGATTCATGTTCAGTACTTACTTTAGACTCCTCAAGAGATAAAGATAAACTCTCTAAGAGATTTATCCTTATCTTGGCTAAGTCTCTTCTTTATTCTAGGACTCTTGTCCCTTATCTCTTATCCGCTTATCTCGGATTCCGATATCTTCGGAGATAACCTCGGCTTGACCGAGATCACCTCGGCGTTATGACCCTGACACGTAACATCTCGGCTGACACGTCGACGTCACCTAGCCACGTGTCGATGCTCAAAAATATATCCCCACAACTGCTCCCTAGGTTCTATTACCTCGGTATTCTGAGGTGATGAAACCTATACCATTTCGTTTTCCCAATACATCGGTTTTCAGTATCTCAGTCGAGATCATTATTTTGGCCAACATGTCTTTGCTGAAGAACAAGAACTTCAAGAACCCTTTCACGCGTATAAGCTGTCATACACCATAATTCAACCGTTTTTAACCACGTGTTTCCTTCTTATTGGTTTGTTCCTGTGACGCGCCCGTAAGCTATCTCTTTTTCACGTGCGCCGTCTGACGCGTACGTTCTTCCAGGCGTATTGATTATTTTTTGCCGCCGTTTTCATTTTTAACAAAACATCTCTTCATTTTTTTTCCTTTCACCTTATTTTTGTTTCTAGAAAACTTTTTCTCTCTCTAACTTTCTCTTCTCAAGTCCGCCATTGTTCAAGCTTCCTTGCTCTGAACCTTATTCCGTTCACCCCTTCCGGCGTGTTTTGCACCATTTCGTTGCCTCTACAACCGTCGTCTGACTTCGGCGATCTTTACACCGGCTTCATATTTTCTGGTAAGCAACTGTTTTCTTCTTATTCCAGTTCTTGATCTTTTCTAGAATTTTCTGTTATTACTGCCTTGGTCAAACATTTAATTTGCGAATATACATCTGAATGCGTTGATTTTACTTTCTGCTTATGCCTTGAATACATGTATTGTTCATAGTTTTCTTGCACGTCTTGCCACTGTTCTTGGCCTTCAACCCTTTGTATTCTTCATGTTTTTGATAGTCCATCTCTATTCTTGATTCTGAAACTTCGCCTTTGTTTTCTGTTTTTTATGTCTTTTCCAGATCTGTGCCTTTGATCTTCATCTCCATAGTTTTAGGTTTGGGATTTGTCTGCAGAATCCACATTTTAGGAAAAACTGAAACATCCCTTACAAATTTCTGCACCAGTTCCAACCTAGGTTTTTTGCCGAGGTCCCAATAACCCTTTTCGAAACATCTTCTTTCTGAAATCTAATACCTTTAGTTATCCCGATATCATGGGTATGTGGAAACATCAGGTAGGCACCCCTTCTAAGCTAGACTTTTTTAGGCAAGAGTTTGAAATCCCAGCCGATGCCAATCTGAGGTTGGCTGGAGATGATGACTCCATCATGCCTACTGATCACTCCATGCCCTTCCCTGTAGTTGCCTTTATTGAGTGTGGACTTCGGTTTCCACTTGACCCTTTTTTTCCGTCAAATCCTTCACTTCTATAAGTTGAACCCAATGCAACTCGCCATCAATTCTTACCGAGTTATTACTGGTACCATAGCTTTAGTTAAACAAGAGAATGCTAGGATTACTCTTGCCGACTTCCAATGCTATTATACCATGTGTCGTCTTAGAAAAGACACGGACTGTGTTTATTACCTTAAGCCGAGATCCACCGAATATAAAATCGTAGCCGACCTCCCAGACTCCAACAAGAGAGCTGGAGACGATTACTTCATTGTCTCGAGCAATTAGGAGTTTCAGCCAAACGACAACCTCCATTTTTATCCCTTAAGCCGCACTATTTTGGGGGAAGGAGCTGGTAAGGGCCACCCTTCATAAGTTTCTTTTTGTCTTCTTGCATAAGGTTTTCAATATTCTTGTTCTAATGTCTGTGCTGTTTTTATCGTTTGCAGTTCTTCCTTAACCTCCAAAGAATTTTCGCCAATCCTTCTATCCCATCAAGGATTTGAAAAAACTTCTGAACTTGCCAATTCACAAACGAAAGGCGCCTCTGCTCCTCAACTTTATTCCAACATATAGGTCCGCTTTGCCCGACGTCCCTAGGAGGAAGAAAAAAAGCCTTTCACCACCATCTGCCACAACGCCAAAGACCGTATCCACATCTCGGACAAACCAGGGGTCAACCTCTGATCCAGCCGAGCAACCGTCAACTTCAGCTCCATACTTGGTTCCAATATCACAACGCCGCCGCCGACACCGAACAGTCTCTACTGCCGATATGGGTCGGCTAAAACTAGTGGCAAAAGATCTTCTGGCCAGCATTCCATCATCTGTTGACGATCAACCAGCACAAACCCTTCTTCCACCGAAGCCGAAAAGAATAAAGAAGGCTCAACCCAAGGCTAAGGTAACTTAGGTTGAGTCTGAAGATACCTTGCCTATCTCAAAGTTGGCTGAGAGTGACAAACCTCAACCCTCTACTGGGAAGAGGCGCTCTGAAACCCAACCATCAGAATCCCCAAAATCCAAAAAGCCGAAGTCATCCCCCGCTACAACTTCAGGTCTAAGAAGCCTGCTGCCCCCTGGGCCGCCGAAATTACTTTAGAGGATAAGCCAATCATGGCAAATGATAGTGCCGAAGATATTAATGTCGGCGTTGCGCTCAGCACTGCTCTGTTGTTACCAGGTGATCTGGAGCGAAATGCCGAGTTGAGCGAATACGAAAACTATGCGTTGATGCTTCAACGCTCTGTTTAAGTAAGTGTCCTTCATCTGGCACTTTTCCTTTTCTTTTTCATACTTAGAAAATTTTGAAATAACTTTTACCTTGTGTTTTCTTCAGGCCATCCAGCATGCCCACTCTTTTTTTGTTCAGTCTTTCGAAAATCGGCAGAAGCTGGTTGATATGAAGAGGGAGTTCTCTTCTCTTCAAAAAACCAACAAAGGTCTTCAATTAAAGATGGAAAAATTGGAGGACCAAGCTGAGGCTGCAATCAAAGCTCAGACCAATTCCGAAGAGAAGGCTGAGGCTGCTGAGGTAATCAGGAAAGTGGCTGAGTCTCAGAAGAGAGAAGCCGAAGAGAAAATGGTCCAAGCCGAAAAGGAGCTTCAGGAGGCACTGGCCACCAAAGAAGCTGAAATAAAAGACGCCGACGAGAAGGCGTATGTCCAAGGCATGGCCGATGTCACAGATACCTACGAACAACAGGTGAAGGAGGCATGCAACAAGGGTTTCACCCTTGGTTGGATGTCCCTTCTAAAGAAACTCAATGTCCCAGAGGACTCACCACTGAGGAAAGCTGATGCCATTCCTCTTCCATTCCCTCCAGCTCAACCTCCAAGTCAAGATGTCGATGAATCTGAGTTTGAGGATGGTGATGGGGAAGAGGATGAGGCTTTGGTAAGAAAATCCAAAGATGCTGATGG